CACCTGTGAGGCCTACCTCACTCCAAGCACTCTTCTTCCTTCCATCCTTTCTGCTGCTCTGGCCACCACCCAAACAAACATCTGTCTTAGGACACCACTGGGTACACCATTTTAGAAAATGTAATGAACTCTAAACTCACCATAAGTAAATGTGAAAAAAAAAACACACTTTAATTTAAAAAATTTAAAAAACCAAAACCTTTGTTCTTTGTCACAACCTGCTCTCCACAAATAATGAAGGACTCTGAGTACAGCTGATGGCTCAACTTATCTTTACCCAAGGCCTGAGTATGAGTTAAACTGCATCTTTGAATGGGGTGTGGTAGTCAGATGACTGAAGCTGACTCCCTAGTCAAATGAAGAAACCAAACAGCATCTTGTCTCCTTCTGAGTCAGAGAGCCACAAGCTGCAGCTGTACCGGTCTTACCTGCAGGCATAATGTCTCCATGTAGACTGGTCTGACAGTATCTGACCACCCTCAGACTGCACAGCTGGGGGATCTGAGTCAGAGCATCGTGCCCAAGGATGTTCTGAGCTGGCATACCCCATGCCTGAAGAACAGGCCTGATAGGTCCTCAGATGTCCTTCTTAATGGGTATTCAAGTTCTGGCTAGGACAAATATTGCCCTCTTTTCTCCTCCATGATCCAGCCCCTTTCCAACCTCCATTCTGATAAAGACAAAAATCCCCTCAGGTCTTCCCAACATTCATTTAAAAGCTTTTGCATTATTCCCATCAGTGTCATAGAATAGCATCTATTTAGCAAACATTAAATGCTTAGTGCTCTCCCATCCCACTTTATCACCTTATTATTAAAAAGAACTCAAGGCAGCTCCTTTGCCTGATACTATCAATTCTTGTGTCTCCCCAGAAAATCATCAGGTAGACAGAAAGACAAACATCAAATAAACTGAAGCTGCATCAGAGCCAGAATTGGTCTTGACAGGTACTTTGGAACAACCAGAACAGGAACCTCAAGAACAGATGAGCAATGTAAGCATGCAGATAATAGAAATGTTCAGAAAGAATCAAAATGAAACACTGTGATCGAAATACAGTAAGGGAAATGAAGACTTCCCTGAGTGAATTTATTAGCCCATAAGATATAACTGATGGAAGAATACTTGAATTTATATTAGATATTAGAATGACATTAGAAACAAAAGAGGAAAAAGACAGAAAAAATAGGGCTGAATACCCCCGATCTGTGAAACATCTGTAGAAAGTGTCACACATGAATAGAGGGACTATGAAAAGGAAAGGCAGAGGTCTGAAGTCACAGTGGTTGAAACTCAGTGCCAGACATCAGATGACCATGTCTGTAATCTCAGAAAGTGAACACCAAGAGCAAACTGAAACAATCCCAAAGATGTTGTCTGGGCCTACCATATTCAAATTTAAGAAGAGAGAGAGAGAGAGAGAGAGAGAGAGAGAGAGAGAGAGAGAGAGAGAGAGAGAGAGAAACATGAAAGAGTCCAGAAGAAAAGAACTGCTCTTCAAAGGAGCAAGGATAAGAACTGGATTCCATAACTCAGATATCATGCAAGCAAAGTACAATGCTTAAAGTACTAGAGAAGAAATTGTCATGGGCTGGAAAGATGGCCTAGTGGTCAGAGAGCCTGCTCCTCTTCCAGAGAACCCAAGGTCAGTTCCCAGGAGCCATCTCACTGCCACCTGTAACTCCAGCTTCAGGAAATCCAGCACCCTCTTATGGCCTCCGAAGGTAACCACACAAACAGACTCACACAAAAACACATAACTAATAATAAAATATATAAGCCTGGTGGTGATGGCGTACACCTTTAATCCCAGTACTTGGGAGGCAGAGGCAGACAAATCTCTAAGTTTAACTTCATGTGGTCTGTGGCTTTGTTTTCTTGCAAGCTGAGCATAGAAGAATGCAGAATTTTAATTGTAACTTCGCCAGTACTTCTATCTAGAGGCCTGCTGCCATTTTTGTCCTCTATGAAATTTTTTTGCCAAGGAAGACAGGATTATAGTTTTGTCTGACATATTGAGATAGCGTGGTATATTCTTGGTTATCAAAATACTCATGTAGCAGGGTTGGGGATTTAGCTCAGCGGTAGAGTGCTTGCCTAGCAAGCACAAGGCCCTGGGTTTGGTCCTCAGCTCTGAAAAAAAAAACAACAAAAACAAACAAACAAAAAACAACTCATGTTGCGTGGGGGTTTTTAGTTGGTGAATATTCGCAATGTGGGGAAAAGCATGGTACATTCTGTATAATCTCAATTCCCTAAATGTGTGTACACTTGCAGCATCTAGAAGGACACATCAAGCTGAGCTGCTTGTGACTAGGGGGCTGTTCTTGGCTTCTTGTGTTGTGTTTCCTGTAATGCACATACTACAAATAAATGCTTCTTTTAAAAGCTTGAAAAAAACCCAAAACAGTCTGGTCTACAGAGTGAGTTTCAGGACAGCCAAGGCTACATAGAGAAACCCTGTCTCAAAAAACCAACCAAACAAACATACAAACAAATTTTGAAGAAATAGCCAACCACGAATCTGCATCCTGTAATACTGTCCTTCAGGGATGAAGCAAGATCTGCCTTTTGTATAATGCTAAAAGCTCTTCAGAGAGAAAGGAAAATATACAGTAAAAAAAAAGGAAAAGAAAAACTTTATAAAAGGAAAATAAATGCATTAAAGAAAGATTACATAAAAATAAAACAAAAACATTTCTTTTTTTTTTTTTTGGACAGGATCTCTACATAGCCCCACCTATGTATTCTAGGCTGGCCTTGAACTCACAGAGATCCACCTGCCTCTGTCTCTTAAGTGCTGGGATTAAAGATGTATACTACCACATCTGGCTAAAACTTCCATATTTCTTATTTTTGAACCAGGAAGGTGGGTGCTATGTCACTAAACTATATCTGCAGTTCTCTTTCTTATTATTAATTTATCTAGCAGATATGTTTGTCTAAAGTAATCACAGCTATGGTGTGTTTGCTTATGCACACATTAAACATATACAGACACATATATGAACACCTACATAAAAGTGAAATGCACCACAGCAGTGATACAAGAATAAGGGATGGAGAAGTGGAATTGTTTCATTGTTGTAAGCTTCTTGCATTATCTGTGGGGTTGACAGTTTATTGAAAGATGCTTTATGGATTGTGAAGAACAATCACAAAAACTTAAAAAAATAAATACAATTGATATGCTAAGAACAAAGAAGAAATAAAGTAACACAAAACACTCAAAACCATAAAAAATAGAAAAAATGTTAAGAGCAAAATTGGGAACAAAGAACAAGAACATCAATCAGAAACAGTAAAAAAAAAACACTGCAGATATCTAGCTATATTAACGATCATGTAAGAATCAATGGTCTAAAAACATTAATTAAAAATAGAGATTGTCAGAGAAGATTTTGTTTGTTGTTTTTGAGACCAGGTTTCTCTATGTAACAGAGCCCTGGATGTCCTAGAACTTGCTTTTTAGACCAGGCTGGCATCGAACTCACATTGATCTGCCTGCCTCTGCCTCCCAGTGCTGGGATTAAGGGCATGTGCTATCACACCTGGTAGAAAAGATTTTTTCAAAAAAAAGAAGTCTCAACTATATATTTTATACATGCAACCTCTTTAAATTTAGAGACATGTACAGATTAAAATAATGGACAGAAAAATATATATCATACTTAAACTGACCAAAAAAGGGAATATCCACTAATTCTAAACAGAGCCAGCTTCAAATATATAAAAGATGTAAGTATATAATACAAAACTCCTAGAAAAATAGCATAGGAGAAAACCCGCATGACCTTGGTTGGGTGTAGCAATGATTTTTTAGATACAACACCAAAAACACAACCTAAGAAAGAAATCATTAATAAACTGGGGTTCACTCAAGATGTCTACTCTGTGACAAACATTTTCAAGAAAATAAGAGAGTAAACCACAGACATAACAATGAAAGATCATTCACTAAAACATAGAAGGAACCTTTGATACTCAAAAATAAGAACATATACTATGGATTTGAAAATGGGCAAAAGACCAAATTCGCACATATCTCATCAGAAAAGATATTCAGATGGCAACTAAGCATATGGCCATATCTTCAGGATCATATATCATTAGGGAATTGCAAGATAAAAATGAAATGCCTCTATACAACTTTTAAAATTGCCTAAACCCAAAACCCTGAGAATGCCAAATGTGACATAACAAGAATTCTCATTCATTGCTCTTGGGGATGTAATGATACAGCTATATTGGAAGATAGTTTGGATTCTTGTAAAATATAACATACTCTTACCAATACAATGCAGAAATCTATCCCCTTGGTGTTTATCCAAATAAACCCAAAATACATGCATACATGAATACCAGAACAGACCTTATATCAGTTTTTTATTCATAACTACTGAAAGTTGAAAGCAACCAAGATACCCTTTAGTAGCTAAGTGGAAAATTTTTTATCCAAATGTTTTCAACACTAAAGAGAAATGAAACAAACTGTGAACAGATGTAGGGAAATCTTGGGTGTTTATCACTAACAAAAAAAACCAATCTTGAAAGGCTGCATGACATTCTGGAAAAAGCAAAAAACCTCAGGATAGTAAAAGATCCACAGTTATCAGGGCTAAGCAGAAAGAAGAACCTAGTAGAGTGCAGGGGACAGTGAAATTACTCAGTGACACTGTAGTGTCATTGCAAATTTATCCAAATCCATGGAATATCCAAGAAGAGAGAACTCTGTTATAATCACAGACTCCATGACCAAAATCAACTTGGGGAGGAAAGTGTTTATTTCAGCTTACAACTCTCAACTCAAGGCAGGAACATGGAGATAGAAGCTGAAGTGGAAGCTATGGAGGAATGCTGCTTATTGATGTGCAACCTCTGGCTTATTCAGTTTGCTCTCTTATACACCCCAGGACCACCTGCCCAGGGTAGCACTTCCCATAACAATCTGGATCCTCTCACATCAATCATTAATAAAGAAAATGTTCCTACAGACTTACCTGCAGATTAATCTAATGGAGACAAATCTTCAACTATAATATGTCTAGATCTGGATCTTCCCAGACATGCCTAGATTTGAATAGAGTAGACAAAATCTAATCAGCACATCTGCCATAAAAGTAGAATGCCTAAGTAGTGTCTTTAACACAAAGCAGCCTCTTCAACACAGGGTCCCAACTCTCCATAGACAAAGGACCAGGAACATGTATGTGAGAGTCAAGCTGAGAAATAAGCCCAAGTCACAAATAGCCACAGACATCCCTGTAAAGGCCACCAGAACCTTTAAGAACCCTGCTGAGAAAGCTGGCCTAGGAAGTGGTCACATCAGGGAGTGTGCCTTCTTTTCCAGATTTACACACATGTTCTTTAATCCCTCTAAAGTCAGAATGAAGATACCAAAAAGACTCCTTGATGCAGCAGGGCTAGGGGCCTAGCTACTCCTGGCTGACATCTGATAGGCCAACCTCTCTGTCTTCTGCACCTTTCTCCCAAGGGCTTTGTGGCTTGCTCTTCTAAGCTGCACGCAGTGCCTTTTCTTCCGATACCCAATCAGCAGTTCCAGAAAATTCCTCCTATCTTTCAGTCACCATTGCCCACTATGCTACATCCAGTGCCTGCTATGGAGAGAACTACATAAGGTATGCACTGTCCCAGAGCCCTATGTTCCAGAGTATCTAATTCCATTTCTCATATATTACATTAGCATCCCTGGGTGTCTCAGAGTTCTAAGCCGCTCCAGGCGATACATAAAAGCCCTAGCCTATATGGTATCAATGTATGCCTGCCCTATCACCATGGCAATATTCTGCAGAGGAAATGAGTAAATAGTTCTGCCCTTTGGGTATGACCCCTGCCCCACCCTGCTCTGCTTCAGTCTTGGCATAACTCATGACCCTGAGATGCCTTTGTGGTGGAGTGTATAGCTTCTCCTCAGGAGTGGTTGCAGCACAGGCATGAGGACCTGAGATTGAATCCCCAGTCCCCAAGTGAAAAGGAGAGCATAGCCATGCTGCACCTATAACCCCAGTACTACTGGGGGAAAGTGGGTGGAGATGGGAGGACTACTGGGGCTTGCTAACTGCCAGCCTAGCTTCAAGCTCATTGAGAGACTTTATCCCTGTCTTAGGGAAGTAAGGTAGAGAGTGATGGATCAGGACATACACATTTACACACACGAGTGCATACACCACGTACTTATATACTACACACACACAAGAAGTAAAGCTGGTGAACATTCTGGCATAAACTCCAGAAGTGGGCTTGTCCTGTGCTTGCTGTGTCTCAATGAAGGTAAACATGAGATCCACAGAGATGGGATACTATTGGAGGATTTATTAAGGCAACTCCATGTAGTTAAAAAGGTTTATTTTGGGGGTTAACTTACAGCTAGTAAAGGGGTTGGTTACAGGATCCGGGAGAGGTGAGTCCAGCTGGGTTCTCTGAAGAACTCCGTTAGGTCTACCATCCAGCATCCAGGATCACCAGGAACCAAGAAAGCTGGCACATCCGGATCTCGGGTCTTAAGGGCTCCTGTTTTGGCCCCGCCTCAGAGGCAGGTCATAGGTAGGCATGACAGTTATTGGAAGCCTCGCTGGGGGTAGTACTTCCAGGTCAAAGCTGGAACAGCTACCCACTACAGGATACCACAGTGACAGAGGTGGTATTATCAGACTTAGTACCCACTTTTGGGAGAGTAAATAACTCCAGGGGAATGTTCATCAGCAAGGGAAAGGAAGACTAGGGCAGGGGCTGGATGTGTGGGGATGAGAGCTGTGTGCACAGGTTCTAGAGAGGAAGGCCAGTGGAGGGAAGGGAAAGACAAGGCAGGAGGTCCTGAGATTATGGAGCTTGGAGAATTTGGGGAAAACTGGATGGGCAGCTGGCTGCAGTTATCATGATGTAGGGAGTCCCTGCTTCAATTCTTCAGGTTAAGAGACAACTTTAGGCCTCTGCAAATCCATGTACAGTGTGACTCTGTCATACTGCCCAGGCAAGACCAGGGCTGGATGAGGCTGACAGGGGAGGATGAGACAGTACAGGGCAATCCCAGACAGGCTTATTGAGCTAAGTCACAGTCTCAGCAAGCTGAGGAGGAAATGCTTTGGATTTTCAGAGGAAGATGGTCCCTATACTACTTAGGCCACAGAAAATGGGGCTCAAATGAGAGCACTGGGCACTTGCTGGGTTTCAAGAGATACTGGAAACTACTCTGGGGTATATGGACAGTACAAAAGTTGGGCCAAAGCTGTGGCCATTTTAATTAGAAAGGGGATAAGGTTTTCACCCTCCATCCCCTCCCTTCTATTTCTCCCCTCGCCCCCAGTTTACTCATAGAGATCTCATCTACTTCCCCTTCCCAAGGCAATCCATCTCTCCCTCTTAGGGTCCTTCATGATTCCTAGTTTCTCTGGAGCTGTGAGTTGTAATCTGGTTATCCTTTACATCTAGTATCCAATTATGAGTGAGTACATACCATGTTTGTCTTTCTGAGTCTGGGTTACCTCACTCAGAATAATATTTCCTGTTTCCATCCATTTGCCTGCAAATTTCATGATGTCATTGTTTTTTTCCCACTGAGTAATACTCCATTGTATAGATATACCACATTTTCTTTATCCATTCTTCAGTTGAGGGGCATGTAGGTTGTTTCCAGGTTCTGGCTATTATGTATAATGAATGCTGCTATGAACATTGTTGAGCAAGTATCCTTGTAGTATGATTGAGAATTCCTTGAGTATACGCCCAAGGGTGGTATCACTGGGACTGGAGGTAGATTGATTCCCAATTTTCTGAGAAGTCACCATACTGATTTCCAAAGTGGCTGTACAAGTTTGTACACCCATCCCTATTTTAATCTTCAGCCACCATCAGCCTGGCTCCTTGAGCTGCCACATCCCTTTCCTCACATCACTACTTTCTTCTTCAGTTACTGATCAATTGGAAAAGACTTTCTTAGTAGCTATTTATTAACATAGTTTTTATTATACGTTATTAATAACAAATATTTATTTATTATATTATTTATAAATAATAAATATATATTTATAAACAAATAAATAATATATAATACTTATTATAATAGTCAATAGTTTAATATAAAAAGTTTTTTTAGATCTTCAGATTTTCACCCAGACAGAATCACAAGCATTACAAATATTCTTTCTTTAAAAAAAAAAAGGGGGGGGGGAGTGATGAACCAGAAGGGGATTGATCTAGAAGTAGTGATGTTTGAAAATAAATTAACAAAAAAAAATTAGTATTACCATTTATTGTTGACAAGGACTTAGTTTACTTACATTCCATGGGTAAAAGAGTTCCAGCTACACCAGGAGTGGAAGTAGTGCTGAGCTCAAGGTCACAATGCTTTCTACCAGGGCCAGCTGACCTTCCTGCATCTGTGCATATCAGCACAGCATCAGGAAACCTGTCACCTTTCCCCTCCAAGGAGGTTGGAATTGACTGCATTGGGCACTCCAGAGACACCAGCCTGCAGGCATCTGGACTCATAGATAATGTCTTGTAGTGTGATTAAAAGCTACCTCCTTAAGAGACACAACTACTGACAATTTCTATAATAATCTTTAAAGGTTGGGGCTTTGGGGCTCATTTCTAAGTCTACTGCTTAAAAATAAAATAAAAAGGACCAAATCTTTTGATCACCTAAAAATTTAAATTTCCTAAGCTGTCCAATTTATACAAGAATTCTTCTAGCCAAGCCAAAGGCACAGACACATCACCACAGTTACAATACTGATAGCATCAGTTTCAGATAAGTTTCTAAACTGTGCTAAATAAGTAGATGCAACTGAGAAACTGAAATGAAAAATATAGTGTCATATCAACCAAAGGAAATAATGAAACTAACAGCATCACTGTTGAAAAGAAAGCAGTGGTTACAGTGGGTGGGTGCTTACGGGATGGTCGAGCTGGGAGAGGGACAGAGTGGGAGAGCAATGAAAGAGATATCTTGATAGAGGGAGACATTATGGGGTAAGCGAGAAACCTGGTGCTAGGGAAATTCCAAGGAATCCACAAGGACAACCCAAGCAATACGACTACTAGCAATAGTGGAGAGGGTGCCTGAAGTGGCCTACCCCAGTAATCAGATTGGTGAATATCCTGTCTTCCTAGAGCCTTCATCCAGTAACTGATGGAAGCAGATGCAGAGATAGATCCACAGCCAAGCACCAGGCCTAGCTCTGGGAGTCCAGTCAAAGAAAGAGGAGAAGGATTATATGAGCAAGGGGGCGTTAATATCATGATGGGGAAATCTACAAAGACAACTGAACCAAGCTTGTAGGAACTCACAAACTTTAGACCAACAGCTGTGAACCTGCATGGGACCAGACTAGGCCCTCTGCATACAGGAGACAGTTGTGCAGCTTGGTCTGTTTGAGGGGCCCCTGGTAGTGGGATCAGGATCTATCCCTGGTGCATGAGCTGGCTTTCTGGAGTCCATTACCTATGGTCAGATTCCTTGCTCACCCTTGATGCAGGGAGAAGGGGCTTGGTCTTGCCTAAACTGAGTGTACCAGGCTTTGCTGATTCCCGATTGGAGCCCTTACCCTTTTAGAGGAGGGGATGGGGAGCCTGGGGGGAGCAGGAGGAGGGATGAGAGGGGAATCTGTGGTTGGTATGCAAAATGAATAATTTTTTTAATTAAAAAAGGGGGGATAAGATCTTTGGGGACAATAAGAGGCATATTCCAAGTATGGAGGACAAATAAAGTCTTAAAATTCATGTAGGTGAGAAGTCAAAAGTAGCAATTTGGAGAGTTAGGTCTGGGCCTCAGAAACTCATGTGAGTAGAATAAAGGTCAGGAATTGTAGATGGCTGATGGATAGCTGCCTGAAGAAGAGAGTTGTTCAAGATAGGCTTTCAGATGCTCACTGAAGGAGGCTGACGAGAGGTGAGGGTGCCAGTGTGTGGAAGGCATCCAGCATAGCCTGGGGACAGGCAAACCACACACTGATATTAGTGAGGAGAAGGAATAGGTCAGAACAATTAAAAACAAGGTTAAAGAAGGTAAACTCAGCTCAGTAGGGATAACAGTACATTTGAAACTACAATT